TCACCAAAGACAACATCTGTTTTTCAAAAAGGAACAAACTCTTTTACACATTAACACAGAGCGAGTGTCCGAATGAAAGAAAATCAACACATCAGTAAATTGCAGAGTTTGTGTGTGAGAGACAGTGCTGTGGACAAGCCGGCCTGACACCGTCAGCAGACAGTGATCCAGACAAGGTTTAGTGTAATGACTGGGTTGGAGATCTAGGAAAAATGTGCCTTTGAAAAAACAAAGTATTCAAATTTTCCACGTGTCCTTAAACTTGTATTTTTATCCACTGGTTTAGTGACTAATAAACAGTTGACAGATTGACTCCTGGAAGACACCCGACAATGAACACAGCTATGACTAAAGATCTGCATCTAGAATAGTATTAACTGTGAGGGTTGAGCTGGAGCTGCTTCTGTCTGTGGAGTATTAGCCCTGTGCACTTACTGCCTGTACTGCAGTTTTTCAATCTGTTGTCTTTGACATTGTCCTTACAACTCTAACTCTAATAGGGAGGAAAGTATTCAAACTCTAAAGCATAACATAGATCAGTATGCCCAATAAGTAGATCGGGGTCTGCGGGTAGATCACAAGGAAGTGGTGGAAGATCATGAGAAAATTTTAAAAAATTATATTACAATATAAAAGTAAAACGATATAGTATTTAGTGGTAACAACATACTTTAGTAATTGAATAGTATTGCACCATAGATAATAATTTAATTATAAAGTTTGTTCAGTTTATGAGTAAATATCTATTTAACAATTTCAGTGCAGGTAGATCACCTTGGCCTTGTCATTTGAATAGTAGCTCCAAAGACTGTGTTGTGGGCACCGCAACATACTGTAGATCATTCTCCACAAAGTAGTTGTCCAAAGAATGGAACTGACCAATCTTCTCTGTATATTCCTGGGTATGTCTATAAGAATATCTAGCATAACAAAGAGAAAATTCACATTTATGTTGGACTAAATGGTTACCGGGTGATGGCCAAAACAGAGACTGTTCGAGGATGCATACTGTACATAACCTTTGCACACACACACTACTCCAACTGCAGCTCAAAGGGGCACTTGAGGTAACACAATGAGCAGCTTTTTCAAAATCCAAACAGAATCCAAACAATCCAAAACATGAAAAGAAAACAAAAAAAGGCAAAAAACCTCTTGTGACCCAGTGGTGATGAAGATAAGGGTTAGAACCTACTCTTTGTCTTCTAAATCTTTGCTTGGACAATTGTTCTACAGTCTGGTCTACTTCAACAGCCCCGGGACTTCAAAGTAAGTAGTCAGCCGTTTAGTCCACGGTTTAAAACCTGTCTTCCTCTTAGCCTTTTCATCCTCTATCCCCTTATCCTTATCTTCCAGTCTGTCTGAGGAGCGGAGACCAGTCTCTGCCACCGACTTCTCCTCCGGTCACACTTGGCTACTCTGCTCTGCTGGCCTCCAACTCACCTCAGCCAGACAGACGAGAGCACAGCATGGCAGCATCCTGCCATTCTGCGCACACACACAAACAGGAGACAGAGCTTTAATTCAGGCAAACACTTCCTACATTGTGTCCAAACAGGAAGCCCACGCGGTAATAGGATGTTTTTTTGCTTTCTTGTTAAAATCTGGAAGACCTAAGTTTGGGCAAACGATGTTGATTATACTAATTGGATTTTGAGTAATCGATACTTTTAACCCTTCTCTGCCCTTCTGCCCCCCACCCACACAACCAACACACACACATATATTGTTTGTAAAGATGGCAAACATGGAGTTAAAATTTTAAGAGTATAAGAAATCAATTGTGTTGCGTTTAAACTGCTTAGAATAAAAAAATAATAACTCAAGGTGAAGTAATTAATTATTTAGGTGCTAAAGTATCTATCACATTTGACCAAAAAAATTAAACAAGTTCAAAGAAGATCAGGGTCATGTGTTAGACACTGCAGTCAGTCAACAGTTTTACATCATATTTTCTCTGGGAATAATCTGTAATCTGAAATCAGACAGCCAATCATGTAATCTGACATCAGACAGCCACCACATTAATCTTATAAGTGTGCTCAGGGGATTATGGCGGCTCGTCCACATGCAGAGGATCACAGCCCGATTTTCTATGTTACTACAGCACTGATGCAAAGACCTTAAAGGGATATGGAGTTAAGTGTTTAGCAAACAAGTAACGCAATAAAATATCAATAATAAAAACTAGAGAATTATTCGATAGCATTTCTTATACTTACTTTTAAATAGTAAAAAATAATTTGTAGGGTATCTTTGAACTAACACCTTTGTAGAGACATTAAAGACACCCATTATTGCCATATTTCACAATGGCATTTTTTTCATTAACCTTTAATTAATTTTAATTTAAACTGTTACACTAGTGGGCTCACTACCAGCCGTTCTCTCATTTCAGCCTCCATCTCTGCTTCCAGCACTGGGCACAGTTGGGTTTACCCTGGTATGATATGCATGTTTTTACATTTTACATGTCATTATTTGGCCATATCATTCCACTCCATGATGGAAACCAGAGCCAAATCACAGTTTACTATTACAAACCATATTGTGGGAGGTTAAAAAACACTGCACTGCCTGGTGGAAACTCCAACTAAAATAGATGGTCTCTGCCAGTTTTGCATCCCATGGTGTGTTTACCAGCCTTTCTTTCCATCTGTCTCTTGGTGGTGGTGGTGGTGGGGGGGGGACTGACATAGTGACTGTACACCATCTTCTGGCTTTTCTTCTTTATTCTCGCCCACATATTATTGGCAGATCTTTCTACCTTCTTAATTTAACACCGCCCGTTAATAAGAGACAGGATTAGACTCAGACATCCCACAAAACTATGACATCATAAGGCCTGAGCTGGGACTCTTTCATAAACCTTATTAAAAAAGACATGTTAAAGAATGAAAAAAGAAAAGATAGCTATTAAATATATGAAAAAAGCTGTAATATACTGTAATATCAGAAATTATATTTATATGTATATTACAGTAACTTTATTTATTTCCCTTCCAATAGGATAATAATTTAACAAATTTGGGATCATGCTTTACTACTGAAGACCAGGAACCAGGTCATTAAAATGTTTACTTATGGTAGAATCAAGTGAAAATAACCTTACTTCCCCAGGAGTTATATTTATGCAGTTACGTCAATAATGAAGTTATTACAATAAGTCCCTGAGTCCAGTAATGTGAAAATTTGATTCTGACATTTGACCATGCTTAACATTTATCTTTGGGAAACTTTGAAGGAAAACAAACATACAGACAGATATTACATGACCAACTTGGTAAAACTTGTTTTGTTTCTAATTTATCAACACAATCACCTGGAGCAGGAGTTTTCCAACAAAAACAGTTTAACTATTGTTTTGAAGGTCTAAGGTGAAGCGAACCAGCCCGGTTTTCATCAGCCTCACTCAGCACAGTGCATGGTTTTTGTTGAGGAAACTTTCTTCTGATGTCACACCCACATAAGGGTTCATCTGCCTACACTGTCCATGTGCCTGCAGTCTCTGTTTAAACCCAAATATATACAAAAAAGGCTTGAAATTATTCATAAAAAAGATTTTGAAAAAAAGATTTGGTAAACACTGTATTTTTTCAACACTGCAATTAGAATGATTATTCCACAAATGATGACTTGATTTTTTTATTTCGCCAACGGGTTTATAGTTCCATCTGACACTGTCATATCGATAATATTTTTCCTGGGAATAATTTAATCAGCCATAGGTCATTCAATGTCCAGATATGGTGTATGACTGTGGTAAGAAACAGACTGGAGAACCTGAATGGGAGAGATGAGTAGAAACAGACTCATCTTGATGAATCACTTTGGCCTTAGATTAAAAAAAGATACAAAAATAAATAAAGGCTGATGATGAACTCCGGATAATAACTAATGAGATGTACCAGAGAAAAACAGCATACTATCCCCACACACACACACACACACACACACACACACCCACACACTCAGAAACACACACACACACACTCAGAAACACACACACACAGGGGGGATGATGATGCTGCTCTTGCTGCTGTTGGTTGCCTCTCTGGTTACAGCAGCTCCTGATGGCCAACACCCCAGAAAAACGTTGGAGCTCAGCACACCGTCAATTATGATTCAAATCTAAACAACATCTCGGTCAAATCGACCACACGCTGCAGTAAGATATTATGAAGCGCGGTGTAATAACAAAGAACGGATCTGGAACTGATGCGAAATTAACTCCAATTTCTGTGGTTGCTGAAAAGACAGAAAAAATTGTGAACAAATTTCGACTTTACTTTTACATCTGTTGGGCAGTGAAATGTGATAATCGTGTCTCGTCACGTTCGTTATTTAATATCTAAAAACTGGGTCTATTGTACAGACGGGGGTTTCAAGTGTCCCCTGTCAAACACAAGCAGGTCAGGACAAAAGAATCATAACAAAGACTCACATTATGCCACAAGTACATTAAAAACAAACAGCTATGACTCCAATGTTGACTTTCAGAGACAACAAATGATCCGGAATGGGACGGATGGTCTCTTCACCGTAGCCCACCGCTCCTCCACCCTGACCTGCTTCTCCTCCAAACGGGGTGTGACATACAAACCCCCCGTCAGCATGCAACTTCTTAACTTGACACAAAAGCCAATAAACGCATCCTATAAGCAAAGATTAAACCAAACTGGACATAAAGGCTGGCAGAGGATGCTGTGTTTCCCTCCAGTCCTGCCCGGCCGCTGTCGAACACCGGCCCCGTGGGTGTGTGTGCGGACACTTCCCTTCCTATTGTTCGGCGGCTGTCACAGCCGTTAAGGTGCACCGTGGATTAGCTTCAACATTAGCCTCGCCGGCTAACAGCACAGCAGGCTGGAGACTGTACAAGGTAACGCGGCACCTTCCTAATAGTCGTTACAGCAACAAAAGTCGCTCTGTTGTCTGGGTCAGATTTAACAAAGAAAACAAAGGTAGGTCACAAAGACTCATGTTGGAGTTTTTAAACATACCCAGAGCTCCGTTCCCCAACTCATGACGGATTCCTCCTTCTGAGTTCTCCTATGTTGGAAGCAGTTTCCTTCGCTCAGAGACTCCAAAAACAGCCGCTGGAAGTCGGCTGCGCTCACTGAGTGACTGCCCTGAGACAATCACCCCGCCTTCTCCTCAATCACCATGGCCGGTCCAACCGGGGGCCCAGTCCTTAAACTCCACACCCCCTTCCAAAAACAGCCTGGCAGCAGAAAGACGTTGAACATTAGGAATGGTTACTCCTTGAATGAAAATACACGATTTAAGCATTAACAAAAATTCACAAAACAACAAAAGTTTTTTTCTCGCCATGTATCATGAATATCTGTAAAAAGTACAGAGTTAACCTGTCAATTGTGAATCTTTTTAAAACATTATAAAATGTATTTATCTGAATATATATTTAGTTAGCTATTTTTTATCAAAATTTAAAATTGAAACAAAGATTTTATGTTTAAATTCGATTCAGGAAACAAATAGGTCTACGTCTAAGCAAAATTTAAACAAAGTAGTAATGGTTCCCTCTAGCGATCAAAATAGAACATTACTCCTCCTAGCACTACGATAGATATACTGTTTGCAAAAGGCAGTAGCCTACGTCTTCACCTTACGTGTCTTGCCTTGAAAACACAGCAGAGGAAACGTTTTTTTTTTTAGTTCATTCATTCGTGATTTTGTTTGCCTCGTATACAATAAAATTCAATAACTGTCCACATCGTTCTCGTTTTTGTCTGATCTTGTTGTCATCCACCGTCAACAATTGTACTTATACTCTTTAAAATTTCTCCGGGGTTCGGGAAATTATTAAAAGAAGAATATGTATAGTGAAAAGTGGTTAGAAATTATCGACTTGGTGTGTTCTTATATCTCCACACCAATAGATGGCGGTAATGCATAAACTAATCATCGGACGCACTCCTGCCATGTAAAAAGCAAGAAGATGATATTTCATAAAATGGACATATACTGAGTTTTTTCTTGTCATTTTACTCGTTAATCCTGTTAAATAAGCTTTATTTGTGCAGACATCCAAACATTCAGTCATGTATCGCTGCATTACGAGGTAAGACGTTTCATATCTATGGATTAACACATTGAAGGAAGTCGGTCATGAACTTTGGCACACATTTCTCAGTGTGAATATTAAGGATGTGCCTTTTGGAATCATCTTCAACTGGGTTATTATTCATTTGATTGAATACGTTTGGTTATATGTATTTAATGCGTTTGGTTTATCATAAAGACTACGGAGATTACAGTACAACCCGGGTACATGTAGTAGGCGGAAATACTCTTAACACGAAGTTGACACCATTACCTATTTTTGTATCTACATTAATATTTAGGATGATAGTTTTACAGTGGCAAAAAGTAGTTCCAAGAGTTCCACTGTTTATTCCAGGCAAAACTATGAATACAAACCAATTTTTGCATTGCGTTCCTTCAAATGTCGAATTTGAAAAAAATAACCTTTTAATGTGCATGGCGTTTATTCTAGTACCTTTGACCTAATATTTATTTTATCACAGTTTAGCACAGCAGCACTGGAAATGTTCACTCCGTCATATGAGCTCAGCGCTAAAGAAGAGGAGATCTTTGCAGAGTGCTTTCCCAGTGTTGGAGCTGCCACTGCAGCCCATTCATAAACACATATTTGAAGCTAACCTTCGTAACAGCATCGCCTGCTGTAAGAAGTGAGTCTTGTCAATTGATGTCCTGAAACTGTTTTTTTCTTCTTCTTCTTCTTCACATTGGTGACAATAATTGAATTTGACCTTCACTGTCACAGGTTAGCAGAGTTGAATGAGAAGGTGAGGAAAGGTGGAGGTGAGAACAGCATCGCCAGACACACCAAGAGAAACAGGAAATTGCTAGTCAGGGACCGTCTCCGGCTTCTACTGGACGATGAAGACTTTCTGGAGCTGTCACCAATAGCTGGTATGGGTCTGCCTTATGGGGACATCCCTGCTGCCGGCTGTCTGACAGGTGAAACACATGGCAACTATAACTATGTTGGTTATCCTGATACTTTATTTTATATCGGACAATATTTTTGCCTGTGTATCAGGTATAGGCAGAATCTGTGGTCTATGGTGTGTATTTATTGCCAACGATGCAACAGTCAAAGGTGGCACAGCATATCCAATCACAGTGAAGAAACAGCTAAGAGCCCAAGAAGTGGCGATTCAAAACCGCCTGCCATGCGTTTACCTGGTGGACTCTGGAGGAGCTTTCCTTCCACTGCAGGTTAGTTTTAAAATACTGGGACAGTTATTTCAGGGAAAACTGCAGTTTCTATTTCCTCGTTGTCTGATTGTGCTTCTTTATCCAGTCAGAAATTTTTCCGGATAAGAACCAGGGAGGAAGAACTTTCTACAACGAAGCCATCATGTCTGCGATGAAGATTCCACAGGTAAAGAATTGAACAAAAGTGATGAATTTTAGGGGTGTGTACGATATGTATCACGATACAAATTAAATGTTGGAAAACTGTCAGCATGTTGAACACACAATGCTGTCACATGGTTAACATCAGGTTACTAACATTTGAGGGGGTCTACATTTGTAATCGCTAGAGATGAAATAAAAGCAAAATGAAATAAATCAGCACCAGGAATATTTGCCTGTTAATTGTTGAAAAAAAAAATTAATAGTGGTGTAGAATTTTGATACAGTATCGTTATAATATGAATATTCTCCTACACCCCTAATGAATATACTGTATAAAACCATAGGCTGTGGAATTTACTCTGTTGATAACATCTGATGTCAGTGAGCACTGAGACAAATCTACGTAAGAAACTCTAAGCCGTGCCCTCATGACAACAACCAATGATCCTGAAGGTGTCAGTGGTATGTGGGTCATGCACAGCGGGTGGAGCCTACATCCCCACCATGGCAGAAGAAGCAGTGATGGTGCATCAGATAGGCACGATATTCCTGGGAGGACCGCCACTTGTCAAGGCCGCCACAGGAGAGGAGGTGTCTCCAGAAGACCTGGGAGGAGCCAGACTTCACGCCGAGTAGGTCAACGTATCAACTAACCTTTACAGGATGATGATGAGTATTGAACAGCGATGCATTGTCAGTTAAATTTGTCCTCTGATGAGTGTAGAGTGAGCGGCTGTGTGGATCATTTTGCCTGGGACGAGAAGGAAGCGTATGAATACACCAGAAACATCATTTCAACGCTTAATTTTGAGCTTCCTGAAGAAGATGTAGAGGATGAGGAAACAACGATGAGGAGGAGGAGGAGAAGAGCTGAAGAGGAGCCTCTGTACGGTTCGGAGGAGCTCTTGGGTCTGGCTCCACTAAGTTATAAATACACAGTGGATGTTAAAATGGTAAGAAAGCCTTATCCTCACTGGACTTGTATACCTGTCAGTACATTTAAACAGTTTATCCTGATTTTAATGTTAATAAAATTCACACTTTTTTTATAAGCTATCATAAAACAGCAGTATTAACACACTTAATGACATTAACCACTGTGTAGTACAGTATACATTTTATGTTACTGTTTCTGTCGGTCCAGGTCATCAGTCGACTGACAGACGGGAGTCGCCTTCAGGAGTTTAAAGCACGCTATGGAACCACACTAATCACTGGATTTGCCAAGATTCATGGGTAAAACACACACACACACACACACACACACACTACTCTGTCATTGTGAGAAGACTTCTCAGATTTGGACATGAATCCCTTTTTTTAAATGTACCCACTCCCACCCCCTCCCCTCCCCTATCACATTAGCCACCTGGTGGGAATCGTAGCCAATAATGGAGAGCTGTTGTATGAGGCTGCCTTAAAAGGAAGTCATTTTGTCCAGTTGTGTGACCAGAGAGACATCCCACTGCTCTTCCTCCAAAACACAGCTCCCACAGGAGCACTGACGCTCTCCAAGTCCCAGGTATTCACTCTCAGTAAAACACAACACAGTTATGCATATACATATATTTATGGAATTGAAAGAATACAAAATATCAATAATTCCTGTAACCACGTTTCAGATATCTTGGTCAATATTACATGTATATTAAATTTGAAAAAATAAACAATCTTTTGCTTTCTGTGTATTCCTGTTCTAGGCAGAGCAGAACAGTAACTGTCTAAAGGCTCGGGGGTCAATGCTCTCTGCAGTAGCCTGTGCAACGGTCCCTAAGATCACAGTGCTGATTGGTGGAAGTCACGGTCCCGACAGCTACGCTATGGTGAGACAGCGTGACATATTTTGTGATTTTTTTTTTTAACCAGGACAATGAACTATAGTCGACATCTGTTGTTATTTAAAGGTGTCAATAAAAGAGAAGTCATGTGACCTAGAGAATTCCAGCTGAATTTATCCTAACACTGTGGACTGGGCTTGTTTTCTTTTTTCTTTTTCTCTGATGCTAAAATCCATTCTGTTTTCGGCTGCAGTGTGGACGAGCCTTTGATCCAAATTTCCTTTTCCTGTGGCCTAACGCCAGAGTGTCGATGGTTGCTCCTGGTTATTGTGGCTCCCTGCTGCCCCCTGATACCGAGCAGGAGGAGCAGCAGCAGCAGGAGGACGACTTAAATAAAAGGTTAAAAAAGGAGAGTTCAGCTTTCTTCTCCTCTGGAAGACTCTGGGATGATGGGGTCATTCTGCCTCAGGACACCAGGAGGGTAAAAATAACACACCAGGAGGATTGTAATATTCATATTTAAGATTTATTTTCTGACTGATTAACTGTTGGGGATTACAGGTGGTCAGAGACTGTCTGGACATCATTAAACAGCAGAAATATCAACTGTCAACACAAAAGGATCACTCAACCGTTCTTCGAATGTAGAAGTGCCTGTTGCTCCAAATTTGTACAGACAACCACCGAGTGTAACTGCTTCGATTTAGAATCATGTCCATCATTTATTACCTTAAATAAAGGTTTGACAAAACTTTAAGAACACTCACTGGAGATATGTACAAGTGATGGAGGTCAGAGTAAATGTTTGAGACGTAACAGACGGGGAAAAAAATGAAAATCTACAGTCAGAAGTCTAGGTCAGGATCTTTTAACAAGAATAATCTCTGATTGTAATTTCTGAATTTGTAGAAATCAATCTCACTGAGATTTAGAAGTCTGATCATGTCATCATCTTATCGAAATCTTCAAACAAATGAAATGAAAACTTGTCAGAGTTGACACATTTGTCATCATTGTATTACCATTCAAGAAATGTTCTGAAGAAAGCACTAACTGTACTAGTATTTGTAAAAATAAATTAAAAAGGTAAAATGTAAATATACTGCAAATAAAATGACTAAACTTCTTCCTTTGGTTTGCTGTATTTTCATTCTCCAAATGTTCACTTAGGTCGCATTCTGTATGTCAAACTCAAGGCCTATGGGCCCAATGTGGCCCACCACATCATTTTATGTGGCACTCCAGAGCTTATTACTCGTATGGTTATCTTAATATAAAGGTTATTATCTTAAAGATAAATATTGTTTCTGGTTGGGAATATGAAAATATATGACAGTCACAAATAAAAAAAAAGATAAAATACTAAACTTAATGTGTCACAAAGGCCCTAAATGTCTGTTGCCAAAATGTATATAATAATATACGTAGTCCTAGTGTTTGCTTTACAGTGATGCTTTACAAAGATAATATACAAATTTGCAGTTAATAGCGCAGTAACCATAAGCTGCCACTGTGACATCAATACACATGCATGGAGATAAAATACACAGAATAAACATAGTGAAATGGCAGCAGTAAGCATTGCATTGTTATTGTTATTATTATTATAATGAGATGGTTGTTGGTTGTTGTCTGTGACGTACACTGATGAGCCGTAGACAGGCGAAGTAAATAACACTGATTCTAATTAACTCTTACTTCAACGACCTACAAGTCAAATGGAACGCACCACCACTGAGGCACGGTGAAAACGTGGGATCCCTGACTGACACAGGACCACATTCCCACGGTCATTAAAATAAATGGGACAAAACTGTGGATGATTGTTTGGTGTTATCGTGGTCCGATCGTTGTACATTACACTATCTCTTTACGAAGCCATGCTTATTAAAACTATTTGTTTTATTCTCGTGGCAGCTTTGGGGGACAGGAGCCTGCAGTTTGGAGTCATGGAACGCGTCAATCAAAATATTTTTTTACCATTTTTGGATCATGGTTTGTAGACCCCATGCAAAGTCATGGGGATGATGGTGTCGACCTCTGCCCTGGCCAACTCCCTCAGTCTCCTGGCATCTAGAACCAGCAGGAAACTTTGTTTCCTTGCTCCTGGTTTCACTACGATACTCAGCAAAACTCCTGCAAAACCAACACAACCACGCTGAGTACCAGACTGTACATGTCTGTCTACTAAACATGTTAAATTATCTGATTTAATGCAGTCTACATTATTTTTCTTTTACTTATATTTTAAACATTTCATTTTTTATTGTTCATTTCGTGATTTATAAAACATAAACATTAAAATTCTTGTAATTCTTCAGTCATCATCTGAAAAATGATGACTAAAGAGAAAGAGAGTCAAAGAAATGCATACCATTGTATAAAGTGTCACAGAATTATATAGTGGACAAAAAAAGAGTTAAAAAATAAATTCAAAAAGGTTCAAAAGTTTCTAACACAAGAAAATTAAACCTGTGACAATAATAATTATTCAAAACAATATCACAATATTGAAAAATAAGATTCAATTACAGTGTAATCTTTTTCTCTTGGTTATTTTTGCTAACTTGTAGTTTTTCTGCCCACATTTAATCCAGTGGCTAACATATTTAGCTATGTTTGTGCATGTATTTGTGGTCATGTGCAGACCCTACCATCATCCTCCTGTATGGCTCCAGGCGTGGGTACGAAGACCGGCTCTGATGGGTAACACTCCTCCTCCTGCCACACCCACGTCTCTTTGGTCTGAACGTTCAGCTTCACAATCTGCAGCAGTTCAACCAGAGACACCGGCAGCTTCCGTTAGTCACCGTGTGGGGGTTTTTTTCAGTATGTTTGAGTTTATGAATCACGTGGCCTAGTGGTCTCATTATTCAACAGACTGGCGTTTAACAACAACAACAACAAGGTCATCATCAGTTCAAGTCCCAGTGCTAATGAAACAGTCTTCTTCTCTATGGAGGCTGACATTCTCTTCAGGTGTTTCTGTGACACACTCTTACCCTGTCAGGGATGAAGTGGTTGAGCCCCAGGCCATAAGCAAAGGTATATTTCTTCCCACGACACCGAGAATAGTTAATCTGTGGAAACTCGAAGGCTGAGAGACACAGGGAGGGAGAAGCATTAACACAGAGACACAAAGACATAAGAAAACAAAAGAACTGGTAAAACTCCTGTAATATCCACCTAAATGTAACGTTTTGAACATATTTATTAGTATACTTGACTTATTATATACGTATATACAGTGGGGCTTTGAGATACGAACTCCCCGAAATACAAGTTTTCCACGTTACGAGTCAGCAATTCAGCAAAGATTTTCCAACATCGAGTTACCAGTGGTCAACCCAGCTCCATTTTTCCACTGTGTGGCGCTGTCTCCCTCACTGTCCCTCGCTGGTTATTTTACCCATTTTTAACAATAATATAAATGTTTTCTTAATTATTATTATTTTATATTATCAGTTGTTTGTTCATATTTATGTTTTTGATGTTTAGATGGGAGGTTTATTTAAAATAATATTTCTGGGGGGCTGGAACGAATTAAACTCATATCTTAAAGTCCCACTACATACTGTATATATACATATATACTGTATATAAGTTATGTATTTACATGGGCGAGCTTGACGACAGCCTACAAACGTGGGCTGCAGCAGGGAGGGTTTTGCAGTCACTTGCTTTACTGATATTTCAGTAGCTGTTTACACTGCCAGTGTACAAGTATTTGTGTGTATACTGTATATACACTGTATGTGTAAATGTATCTGTAAGTCACCCTGTCTTGGACCAGAGAAGAGGACTTCGGGTTCCAGCCACACGGTTCCATCACTGTGAAGAACAGCAGTTGCTGTGGTGTAGGGCAGAGAAACCAGGTTCTTCCCTTGTTCCTCCTGAAGAAACACACACAGAATTATAACCATCTGGTCGCCACTAAATCCTGTATATGACAGGGTGGTGCAGTGAAGCGAACGTGACTGAAGTCATAGATGGAACAAATTTCTTTTCTTTTCTTCTGCTTAAAATGTGTGTTTTTAGTTTCGCTTCTGACAAGGATTTGTTTTGATTATGAAAAGGTCGCCAAGTACTGTCAGTAGGGAAAAACATACTGACGACCAAACGGTCAGGACAAGGTGAAACAAGGTGAAAGTCATTTTGGCCTTTTAGTGTACTACAAATATCATTACAAGTGCTGTGAAACATGAACTAGATCCAGAGTGAAAAAGCAAACAGTGGTTTTTGATGATGGATGGGTGGATGGATGGATGGATGGATGGATGGATGGATGGATGGATGGATGATAGATAGATAGATAGATAACAAAAAAAAACAACATTGCAAAACATATGATCAGAGCGAAGATGACAGAGGCAGAAAACAGAAGAGAAACAACTCCTCACCTTGTGTAAGTCCAGAGGCAGTACGTATCTCCTGACCTCAGGCTGCGGAGCTCTCATGGCTGCTTTCTTCACCTCCTCCCACTCCTCCTTCACATTGGCCATGTACAGGTAGTTGTACACAAAGTCGTGGCTGCAGAGTCGGTAGACAGAGTAAGGAACACGAGTCAAACTCAGGTCCGGGGTCCAAATCTGGCCCGCAGTGTAATTATATTTGGACTGTAAATCATAATGAATGTGTACTAGAGTTTGTCCGCCAGTATATAGCCACTGTATACTGGCAGGATTTGTAGTATTAGTGGTGTATGCGCTATGGCTATGTTATAGCACATACACTTTTGATTGCTTTGTTGTTGGCCTGTGAAAAAAAAGATTTACATTAAAAAGGAACTGGAAAGAATACAGATAAAGAGACATCGTAGGAAACAAATATTACTGATGTGTGTTTTATTTCAAATTTAATTTCTCATGTTATTAATAATATTAACCTTTAGCTGTTCCAGATTCAATGTTTACATAAAACTAAAGTTTTGTTTCCTATGAAAAAAATCTACAATACAGATCTGGACAGAAGGGAAAACATGAACAATTACAGTCAATCTTTCAATAAATATTACATTTGGCTGAGACTTGGTCACAGTTTTGAATTTTGGCCGGGTGTGAATTTGACTCACCCTTTCCACGTGCAGAGGTCCACCACCATGAATCCATCTTCTTCGTAGGCGTTAATGTGGTGGAAGAGGTTAAAGGCTGAGCTTCTGAATTTGTAGTTGCTCAAATAGGAAGCAGGGTCTCGTTGGGCCAAATGGAACCACGTCTACACACAGACACACATCAGTACACACAAACACACAGAAATTCCAAACAACAGATAGGAAATTAGTGAATTAATGAATAAAAAAAGAAACGCTTGAAATAAGGTTGTTGATTAGCTGCTGACATTGTTGGAGAATCTGTTAACATGACAAGTCATGGTTAAAAAAAATTATTACACTGTCAATGCTCAAACAATTGAAACAGAATAAGAAGTTAGACTTTATTAGCGTAGCCTAGCCTCAAAAAATGAGTTTTACCACAAATTGTCATATCATCCTCTAATGAGACACGTACACATATAAATAAAGAGAAAGCTAATACTCAGTGTACTCTGAGAGTTCCCCCAGCAGTCTAGGCCTTTGGCAGCATAATACAGGCTTTGTTAAAGATTCACATTAACTTTTACAAATGTCAATTTTTTTTTCAAATATAGAATTTTACTTTAAAAAACTAGCTAACATATTTTTTTAAACAAATAATCAAAACAGTTTTTTAAGTTATAGAAAAGCAATTTTATTTTTATGTTTATGTTATAATACTGTATGTAAATATATAGAAAAATACTATTTTAAGCGAACCCTGAGAGTTTCCCAGCAGTCCACAGTGGACAATAACTTTTAACTTTGTCTCTTGACTCCACATTTGGAGCTGATTCCACATTAGAGAAGCCAGGGAACTGACGTTGGACCTCGACCTGAGCCTAGTAACCAGTAGTGCTTCAACAGCTTTTACCCCCATTCGTTCATTGCTTTCGAAACAGTCCATGTATGTGGTTCCTCTGACGCCCCAGGCCGACAGGAACTTGAGCAGGTTAATTTTCACCGGCTGCTCCACGACGACAAAGTAGTTGTCCGTCATCCCGAAGCTACACAGAGACAAGTAGACACGAAGACACTATGACGGAAAAATACAAATGTAAATAACTGTTGAAATAAAGATGTGTAGAGAGAAGGACGCGGCTGTTTCAGTGAAGTACTACTACAGTACCTGTGAACATAGGAGGGTTTTAACCTCTCACTGCTGGGCAGCTGAACAATGACCTCTGATTTCTCTATAGGATCTGATTTGTCTGCAAACAGTAAAACACAAACATTTGAGATGCTGTTTATTTTCATAAAATCGACTTCCCTTTTTTAGCTCAAGCCAGTGAATTCCAAAGTGGTACATAGAACTATTGTTGTTTACAGATCTAGCTATGCTGGCTATTAGCTACTAATTTAAGCTAATTCACTTCACATGTGTTAGTTTAGTTTGATCCTTAATCCTACAAAAAAGCACTGACAACCCTACAAGTGACAAGGTTGAAGACATCATGTACTGTAGCAATGAAGCTAACCTTGACATTTTTGAAAAATGTTTAAATACAAAAGAAATCTAATCCAGATATTTAAGGTGGAGTGTGTCTGACCTTTGACCCCAGTGTGTACTACAGACTTACCTTTCATAGCAGCTGGGATCTTGATGATGTTGTAGGCCAGACTCAAGTTCTTGCCAAAACAGTTACCGATGTTATAAACAGCGCCATCTGAGTCAGTGTGGGGGTGAGCCGTCACCCCGTTCACAGACACGTACTTACACAGGTCCACCTGAATGAAAATGTTGTCAAAAAATTGTCAAACCAGATATTGAGTTAACGTCACCAAAGACGGAGAAGAAAATTATGAGCAAAATTCAATAAGGGTTTTCATCTGGTAACTCTTTACCTTCTTCAACGTCTCTAGAGAATCAGGATCAACTTTAGTGATGTAGTTGGTTTCAGTGACAGCGTAGAAGTCCTCGCCAACCGGGTAGACATTCACCAGGCAGTTGTCAGTCACTTCAATGCTTTTGAAATAAGTAAAAAATCTGTAAGAAAAAAAAGAAACAAAATGAAGGGTACAGTCAGGACAACCCGCTGGACTCTGGGTCACTGTGATGACTCAGCAGGCACACTGGAGCCAATCAGGTGTTACTGATCACATTAACGATGGCTCAGGGAAGTAGATAGATAGATAGATAGATACGCTGTCACGGACGGACGGACGGACGGACGGACGGACGGACAGACAGACAGACAGACAGACAGACAGATAGATAGTTTACCTGGAGAAGATGTTCTTGCAGGGATCTGGATAGGCTGCTGTGCCAAACTCAGTCATGACCACACGGTTCTCAGTCATGGCACGGACATATGCATCTGACTTGATAAACCTGAGAGTACACACACACACAGGTCACACACCCATTGTTGAACCAGGCACCACTGAGCATCCTGCAGCTGATTCTATAGACTGTGAACTGTGAGACCACTTCTGCTTAGTCAGACAAACTGATTCCAGGAGGATTTTTGTAGCACCTGTGGCTGATTATTGTGGTTGTCTCTTCGAGCAGCATTCCTTTTTAATGAATTTAATGAATTTTAGAGTCAGCTGTTTGCTGCTTGCACATCTGCGTACCTCTCTGCACCCACAATAAATCAATGTATGTCGCAAATGTGCATCTGGACCTGCCTCAGCATAAAGTGAAGGTTCTAATATATGACATGTGAAGGAATGTGTGTATTAGGCAGGATCCGGAGCTTCCCTCCTATTCACACCTTTTACACTTCTGATAAAAAGTTCATACTGTCACCACTATATAAGGTCATAGGTCAGAACTAACCCTTACCTCCTGTAGTAGGTCACCTGACCCCTTTTCAGGTCAAACTTGTGCATCAGAGCCTGTCCATCGAACAGGTGTCGCAAAGGTTGTCCCCCGATCTCAAAAAGTCCAGGGCCCACCCTGAGAAGGCTGCCGCTCAGCCATGATGGTATCACACCTGTGCATGCACACGCACACACGCAGTGTGAGAGCTCAAAGACAAAAAAAAGTACTACAGTATTATCACAGTTATATATATATCCACTTCTGCTCAGTCCTACCAATGATCTTGGCAGGTATCGGTTCACTCAGCTCCTCCACTGTCTCAAAGATCTTCTTGTAGCCGGCAGCAGGATGCTCCACACTTGAAAAAAAAAAAAAAAGAATTAATGTATGACTGGGTAATACAAGCATCAATGTCAAATGTTACCCCTCAAATCAGTTTGTTTTGTCATATTTAGACATTTTATGTTGTTTAAGATATGTTTATAACGTTTTTTCATATATATTATTACTATTTGCATATACATATATACAGGAATGAGAGGTTAAATTTTTTTCCTTCTCATATTCACATTTCTGACTCTTTCCTTTCACTCCTGCAGGATCAACTGTGGTACTGATAGTCTCGGCATAATGTCATAAGGTTTTCACTCATACTGCAAATATATGCAAATATATGCATGTATTATATATGCAAATATATGCACTTATTAGTGTGAGTAAAGTTTTCCAAAAATCAAGTTAACACTGGTTTTACAGTACACTTTTTTCAGCTTGCTTGCTAACGGCAAAGAAAAAAGAAAACTAAAAAACTGAACAGATGTTTCATCGGTATCCAGGATGCTTGCTACTGTTCTGGACATTATTACAGTATCTTCAGAAATACCTCTTACTTTATTTTAAGTTTCTTAAATAACTTTATATTTATTTGAAGGTCTTTAAAATGACAGAGTTTTTGATGATAATTTTGCCTTTCTGTTTCAAGAGATTTTTAACAAACATTTGTTTGTGCAACAGCTAAATATATTCAAGACAATAGAATAGACACTTCCTGTTTTTTTGGGGTTTTTTTTTTTTTTTTGCTGTTTCTTGCAAAATGTTAACTTAAAAACAAGGCAAAACAATCATTCTCCGTCATCATATCATCACAAAAAACAACTTTTTAACCTTTAAAGGTAAACCCTTCCATCCTCAAACCCATTTGTCAAATAAAGGCCTGTTTTACTCACCGACTGACCATGTTGCTGTTAGCTTCTCACACACTGGGCAGAGGACACAAAAATAACACAAACTTTCCTGAGATGTGAGAGAAAAGTCCGCCCCCCCTGCTTCTTATGTACCCGTAGTTCTACTCCTCCCCCGTTTTCATCCACTTACCCATTTGCATTCCCTCGCCTTTCCTTGCCTTGTCACTTCATTTACATGGTCTTCCTCCCTCCTTGTCCCCCTTCTTCTACCTTTCTTGCCTTGCGTTCTCTCTCCCCTCCCCCTCCTCTCTGTCCTTCCCCCTCTCTGTCCCCGAACAAGCCAGTTTTTTGTCCCTTCTCTTTTCATCCGTCTGGCCTTGTGCAGAATGTCCCAAAACAAGTTCTTAGAACCAAACTGTTAAATGATGTTAGTCAAACCAATAAAGTCGGCTTTGGGGAGAGCTGTTGTTGCTGTTGGTTCACTGTGTGTGTGTGTGTGAGAGAGAGAGTCAAAGGAATCCAATTTAATTAATACCAGATGTCTGTGAGAAACTCAAATCAGCAAAGTCTAGAAGAAGAGAGAATAGCAAAAACATGGGTGAGAGGGAGAGGTTACCAGCGTCCCCTTTAGACCTTAAGACATGAGGAATGAAGTTTACATAAAAATGACCTAACAAAGGGTTTTGTTAGGGCAAGGGTTTGGTACTGGGACACAGAAAAAAAATACAATTTCTTATTTCACGCTATTCTGCATGGTATTTTATTGTGAAAACCTGTCACTTTTCTCTTTATAGGGTACTTTTCCCACAGCTTGTAGTTGTGTTATAAAATCACTAATCAAATAACCTGTAATTAAAGGGAACCATTTCATCAAAAAACGGTGGCACCCAATTTTTTGCAGCGCCCCCCTTGGGTAGATGGAAGTATTGCACACCCCCACACCTCTTCATTGACAAGTTTACAGCAATTGTTTCAGATGCATTTAATTATGAAATGTTTTTCAGATAAAACTAAATTTCTAATTGAACATAAAAAATACAATTTAAAATTGTAAATTCAAACTAGTGAATTTTCAAGACAATAGAATAGACACTCAATCAAAAAGTGAAATTCCCTCAACAATTTCCTCGTTTTGAAAGTGAAATTCCCTCAACAATTTCCTCACTTTCCAATAGGGTATACGACTGCTATGCATCCTATAGTTTGCTCACCTCCTTCCACATTGGGAACTGCTGAAGAATCAGAATCAACTTTACAGGCCAAGTATGAGAGCACATACAAGCGGACCAAACAATAATAAAAGTTTCTTATGCTTATACTGGCTTTTAACTCTCGATTGTTTTTTGTCCTACTTTTGCTTCTTGCATTAAGTATTTGGGATTTCTTTCTTTATCTTTCACGTTGTGTTTACTTGCTCTTGTTCTTTTCTCACCTTTTCCATAAACTTACAAACGTGTATATTTTGGGGCATTAATTTTTTTTGTTTTAAAGTTCACACACCTCTCAGTTGAACAAACTGAGTAGGACAAACAGTAGGACTAATAATGATAATGTGTTTTTCTTAGATTGGAAGAAAAAAAAACAACAGACAGTAAATCACAAATATTAAAAAAAATAAACAAACAGCTGAGACAAGTTTAATTCCATGAATTCTGCATAGTAAGAAATGTAAAGGATTCTGACTCACTGTACATCACTGCTGAAGATTGCATAATAGTTACACACATACAAACAAGTAACACTATCAATAAAAACAGACAAACAGGTAGCAGGGTAGATAATATACTTCATATAAACCAAGACACAGTAAAAGTTTGCACCTTCTCACGCAATTCAAATCGTGCAACTTCTACGTTTAAACCGCCATCATCATCAAATCAGCAGGGTAAAAATAATCTAACAAAATAGCTCGAGGTGTGATGACACCTGGGGAGGGGGCAATTAATATGGAATTAAATAAGTATAAATAAACCATTCTGATGATCGACATTAACTTGTTGTCCATTCACAGTCTGCAAATCTTTAAAAAAACTCTTTAGAGAACCTGTAATCTGTAGTATACAAACAAAAGAACAAAGAATCTACAAATTCTCCCAAATGACAAAAGAATTCTGGTTATTTTCACAGATGAACCAGTGACACCAGACTTGCATTGATGTAAAACAAATAAAAACATAAAAACAGTGTTAGGAAGAAAAGACAAGAAAAAGAGGATGAAGAAAAAAAAACATTTATGAACAGAATAGTAAAAAAAAAAAAAAAAGTTATATACAGTTTTAACTGCCTTCATTGTAAACTAATGTCAGCACAGATGACATGTTCTAACATCACACCCTTAACTCTTGTACAACCAACAGCACAAAAAAGAAACATCCAGAAACCCTCAGCTTCAGTGCAGCACAGACGATCTGCTGACCTGCTCTCGTCTCAGTTCCTGATGCTGAAGGCTTTGGTTTTCTTGATGGTGAGGAGAGCAGGTTTAATCTTTGGTTTGTGCTCTGCCTTGTTCTCCCTGTCTGTTGGTGGGACCCGTCTGTGGTAGATCTCTGGGTACTGCTTCTGGAACTACACATACACACAGAAGCAGAACTCATTTTAACCTTTTGTGCAAATAAAACACATGTTCAGTTATAGAGTGGGGCTGATGTTTTACCAGCTTCAATTTCTTGCGTCTGTCCTTCTCACTGATGTTCTGGTCCGTCAGCAGGATTTCTAGTAACTCCTCCATGGCCTGCTGGGAAGACGCCTGCTTTTGCTGTTCAAACTCTGCGCCGCTAATCTGGCGGCAGAAAGCAAACACGGGCACCGGAGTACACACAGGATCTTCACGGTTGAGGTTAGACGCATCATCAATGGGAATCTGGAGTAAACACAGGAAATAAATACTGTAGGCACAAAACTTGGGCTGCCAGCACCACCTACAGGATAAAATTTCAGTTTTGCAGCCGTGGCACAGGGACTGTAAATTATCAACACCAGATATACACCACACATGGGAAGCCCAGTTACAATGCAGCTTTTAATCACATGGTGGCAGTAATCCGTCAGCCTGTTCTTTAACAAGCTCTTCTCTACGCTAGCTATAGCAAAAAGTACTGAGAAGTTTCCCTAAAAACAAAAAATGAAGACGAAAGTCGTTCACCCCGGCCCCCCCAAAAAACGAAATTTTTGCGTAGGTACAATCCAGACTTCATCCAATCTAATATTTAATAGTTAGCAAGTAAAATATTTTGTTCTCTTCTGTGCATGGCAGTATTGCAATCTAACAGTCCTGGGATGCGTTGGAGAAAAAAGTACTGTGTGCTGTTATAATGTTATGGTAATACCTGTACTGTCCGCAGGTAAAGCACATGGTCACTGATGGCACTGAGCAGGTACTGAGGAACAGACAGGATGCTCTGCTGATGGTCCATGAGAAACGACACCAGTCTGGTGGCTAACAGTTCGTCCAAATCACACTCTTCAGCGCTGCCCAGGACGCAGCCCGAAAAGGTGTGAACCATCTGATTTACACACACACACACACACACACACAGAAGTTTAAGTGAAGTAAGAGAGAAGAAGTAAGTACCGATAACAAACGCAGCTGCCACACTCTGGTTACCAGTGTTCTGGTGCCGATGGCGGGGTGGAGACGAGGCATGTCCACGTTCTGGCTGATACGTGACATCATCCTCATCAGGAGCTGCAACTTCCTGCGAGAGGCAGGAGGAAGGAGGAGGGTGCAAAGCTGAAGGGCCTCAATGGCTACGCGCTCACACTGAGGGTGGAGGACGCCTAGACAAAAAGATACGTACAAGGACACACACAGGTACTTATACACTAATGATCACCCAGCCATGTGAACTATATGTAACACAGAAGCAAAAGTTGACTTGTCACTCTTCATATCCACATTCATCCATCACTGGTATATGACACCAACTGGAATGGATGGATGGACGGATGGATGATCTGATGGTGGATTAATGATGAGATTAATAAACTACTTTTATGGAGTAAAATGAACAGAGAAGACATTCTACAACTGACTTTTCAACAACTATCTTCAGGGGCCAAAAAACCATCACTGGTTTTTAACTTTGGATTTTAATCTTTTTCCATAGTTTCTCCTCTTTGGAAAATTTAAAAGATTTCCTGACTGTTGCCTTGGCAAGTGCTAAGATGGGTGTACTTTCAGTTTCCTTCAGTTTATTCAAATTGAGAACACCTCGTTCTTTCTCTTAATGAATATATATTTCATTTATTTGTTACCTTGTGCAACCAAAAATAAACAGAATAAATGTTAAACTTTAAACCACTCATAATCATCCTAAAACCCTGGGGAGAGACTTGGTGTTATATTACTGCATATAAATTAACATTATATGAATCAAAACTGTGAGTTAAACTGTCATGACAGGAGTGGTGAGTTAAGAGGTTTGCGTACATAACATGGTTAGATGTTAAATGGAGTTAGTGTGATTAGACTGTAACGCAGAAGCAGAGACCGATTCTGTGGGTGGTGGGCAAAGACTCTTACTGTGCTCAGGTTTTTGTCGAAGGCAGCGGAAGCTGCTGCTGGTGCTTGGAACACCGACAGGACGTTTAAACAGAGACAGAGGACGTGGTGGCTTGGACACATCCATAGAGCTGAGGCAGCGGCGGACGACAGCAGGGGCAGACGGTGCCCAGAGATTAGAGGTACTGGAGGTGGGTCTAGGCCCACCAGCTCCTGTAGCAGCGTGGGACTCTAGAGCTTTGGCAGCAGCAGATGGAGACAAGGGGAAGAGAGGATGGTGGGGAAAAGAAGAGGAGGAAGAAGAGGGAGGAAAGGAGGAGACTGAGGAAGGACCTGAAGACGAGGAGTGATGTGAGGTGGTTGGCATGTTTACATTGAAGCAGCTGGTTGCTCGACCCTGCAAGGGGGTTTCCTTGACATCTTCTTCTCTACATTCTACAACAATGTCCAGAAAGCTGCCGACACTGTGGGGCCGTAGGTGGCACAAACGCTTGGAACCCAGCAGTCCAGAAGTTGAACTGCTTCTGGTTCTAACTACTGGAGCGATTCCACATGTAACAGAGCCTGAATAAATATGGGGTGTAGTGACAGGGAGACCGTCCTCTTGTGTCCTGCTGCTGTTGGTGGTAGTAAAGGACACCAGGCTGTCAGTGGACAGAAACAGCTGCTGTCGGCTTAGAGGAGCACCATCATCAAGGATCGTCTCCAGTGAGCAGCTCCTGGTCTGAGGTCTCACAGAAGCACCAGTGTTTAGACTCATGAGGCTGCCGCCAAACTGTGCGTCTCTCGCTGCACCTCCCTTCAGCGCCACCAGTCGTGACTGGAGTTTTCCACCCAGCACGTCTCTCATGGGGGACTCGGTCTCGTCGCACGTGCCCTGGCGGAGGAGTGAGAGGAGGAGACACTCTGTGGAGCGGAACGATGCCTTGGCCGGGGGAGGGACTGAGGGGAAGTCAGACTTCTTGCGTTTCCCATGTTGTTGCGTAGTGGGTGTTGCTACATAGCCACATAACACTGAGAGGGGATGCAGACCAGACAAGCAAGAAGGGGCAAGGCCAAGCAGAGCAGGCAGAGTGTCAGTAAGAAGGAGGGAGAGAGGCAAGTTAGTTTAAAACAACCGCTTTCACATACAGACAAACCTGCTGCTCAGAGACAACACATAAAAGAGAACAGGATATAAAGCTGCTCATGTGGCTGTTAGCAATCCACAAACACACGTCACAACAACCCAAACCTGTGTTAGGGGTCAAGAGTCAAACAAATTGTAAAAATTGTGCATTAACACTGTGGACATATCTGCCAAAAAACATGTACCACAAACGACAGCAAATCCTCAAAAAGACATCTAGGTCATCAAACAGGAACCAGTGCACCTACCCAGGACGTTGATAAACAGTTCATACAGTTCGAATGTGAGTAAAGGCTCTGGGAGGCTGTAGAAATAATCAGACACTGTTTTGAAGACATCCCTTTCAAAGCCAGGATACGCAGGCTGTGTACCGTCATACTTGGTCCCTGGAAGACACACAGCAGTAAGTCTTTTCAGCCAACATCTCATAGATTGGCAAGAGTTCAAAATAAAAAGGTTAGTTATAATGTTTTTTTAAATAAATCATATATTAACAGCAATCTATATTACTTAAGATCATTAATTGTTTAAGCATGTTTTTGCAGCAATCCATCACCAAAGTGAGCAGGGGGCAGCTTTAAGCGCCCGGGGAGCAGTGTGAGGGGATGGTACCATGCTCAGTGCACTTCAGTGGTAACTTGGAAGCTGGTGGGCTCAAACCTGAAACGTTACGGAGCCAAGTCCACTTCCTTAACCACCAAGACACCGCTGCCCAGACACATTTATAGTTTGACACCTAATGGAAAGGAGTGTGTAGGTCATGCCTCTACTCACAGTTGGCCAAGCTCTTCATAGCAGACAACACCCAGTGAGGAAGGTCGTCTAGAGACAAATAAATGACAGGTTGGACTGGTTGACAGGCGGGGTAAATGGTACTGCAGACACAAGTACAAACTGAATGAACTTACTGCTCTTGTCCTCCAGTGTGACCACTCCATGCTTGTTGACTTTGGTCATGTTATGGATGATGTGCTGTGGTTTGATGTGACACTGGTTTAAAACTCCATCGAGAGAGGCCAGATCCAGAATCCTCTGCAGGCTTAAACACCACACACAAAGATCCACAGCATACCAGACTTTAAGGCAATAGTTATGTACAAATGTGTTTGTTGGGGGTTGGGGAGTGGACAACAGTCCTATTAATTGCAAGATTGCTAATTTTAGGACATGACTCAACTGCATGTATCTGAGTTGAGCCTATAGTTAAATAATGTAGTGGATATGCAGTAAAAAAAAGAAAGATATAGATGTTTTACTGGATTAGAGTGATGTCCTTCCAGATCTCCTGCTCATCATCTAGTGTCAGCTCTCGTCTTGGCATCTGCTGTTCTTCCAAAAGGCCATTCTCTGCCCCCGCCTGGAGGGCAGGATCAACATTTTCCTGAAGGACACACCAAAAACAAACATATTCTTTCATTATTCTGTACTGTGCTAAAAAACAGGCACTTCACAAAAAACATTTTGTCTCTACTTAAGATCATGAATAGTTACACTAAATAGGTACTGTGTGATTAAATGAAAATTATATATATATATAAAATTATATTTCTTTATCATACCAGTGTCTCCTTCTCCCCTTTCTTAGCACTTCTAAACCTGAAGTCTTTAAATGAAGGTCTTTTCTTTAAGGAGCCTGGAGTGGATGCTTTGGCTGGACACGGAATTGGTTTAAGAGGTGAAGTGGAGGGAAACCTAGGAGGAAAAAAGAGAGAAGATTGATTGTGCTATATTTCACATACAAAATGTTGGTATCGTTTGTTTTATAGACAAAACTATATCTTATTTTCCCCTTTACTCTTAAGCCCTTGTCTGACCTATATAGCGAGCTGTTGTCATCCAGGTCTTCTGTGCCCCAGCGACCCTTCACATCTTCAATCACATGGTTTTTAAGAAACTTCTTCAGGAGCTGCACCGTCTGTTGCCTGGTCACATCAGGGCCAAAGTTGCTGTTGCTAACGAGCAGCTGGTGGAGCCAGTCCACAGCGGCAGAGGAGGTGAAGCATGAGGAGTAGTTACGAAAGTTTTGACGATGTTTCCTAAGGGGCATGCCAGTCCGAAACAGACGAGTGACTTCATTCCACTGAAACATGACACGGACAGGGTTCACTGTCACTTTATGCTGACAAAATCCAAAAGAAGTGATACCATCCAGTTTTCTTCTATTGTTCAGATTATTTCACCTAGTGAAAGTATAGCCCTAGGCTGAATCTGGATTGTGTTGCTTTCTTCAAGTTAGATGAGTTTGCATCTATTTTGTTTGTTAGTTACACTAGTTACAGCTAGTCTTAAATTGTTACTACTTTAGTTTACTTTTTTATGTTTTTCTTTTACTGACAGAACACCATTAATATTATGGTTGTAAATAATGTGATAGAAATTCACATTCTAATCCGCACCATAAAATGTATTCTGTTTTTTAATTGCTATATATATATATATCTTTGTGTTTTCTCTGTCCTTTTGTTACTGCAGCATGTTAATTTCCTCTGTCTGAGAGAAGTATATTTTCCTCTAATCTAAAATCCTCAAAACATGTTTTAACCTTTTGTTTGTCTTATTAAGCCTATTTCTTAACGAGGTTGGAGATATTTGTGCAAGTTTTTGGTTGATTTGAGCCAGTCTTCTGAACATCTTTAAAGTTGAGTGAGTTATCCTTGTGTTATTGTATTGCTATTGTCCTGTCGACTGTTTTAGCTAACAATTAGTTATCGTTGTTACATGATTAATTACTGGATTAATTTAACGTAATTAATTTACATTGATTACATGATTATGAGAAGCATGCGAAACAAGGTCTAAAAGACAGGAGCAACAGGAAATCTGTTTAATAACAATAATAACGACAATAAAACAGAAACAGTCTGCCCCAGTATTTGTACTCGTCAAAACTTCCCACGTACGTTAAGCTATTTACCCCGATAAAAATGTTAAAACCTACCAACTTTGTGGCTCGATACGGTCCGGGAGTGATAATATGGGAACTCATATTTTTCACAAAAATACGACTATGTTCACTTCATCCGACTACAGAAACAGTTTAAAATACCCATCAAGCAGACAGCTCAACGGTATGTTCGGCTGTGGAGTGACTGGCTTCTCGCCGTCTGTTCAAAATTACGAGCCGTTGTCACCTCGCACCGTATTGGACAGCGATGCATCACGTGGTCAAAAACGACAGGAAGTGGAGAGGACCAAAACAAAAGCCGCCATTGATGTGTTCTATGTGCGAAATATAACGAAGAGAAACGTGCCATTGAAATTCTTAAACTATTATATAACTGTATAAAAGTGACTTTTTTAAACCACAGAAACGTTATGTGTCAAAACTCAAGGCCTTAGTTCTGTTTGAGGGGTATACATTTTTTTTTTACAAAACAGGAGACATGTCATGTAATATAAATTGAAATAATGAACATAAAAATGACACAAATTAGAAGAAATAGTTAAAAGTTAGCCATTAAATATTTAAAATAACTTTTAAAATGGTCAGTTTACCAAATGTTTCAAACAATAGGTTATTCAAAGTTAGCTCAGAAAATTTGAAAAAGTTCCCCAAATCTGTGAGAAGTTGCACAGAATTACCCTGTAATGTAAGAGGAAAAAAGTTGGAGAAATAATGCTGAGAAATAATCAAATTGCTTAGACCCATATAAGGGGCACTTCTGTATATGGACTAGACATATGGACATGTTATTAAAGATGTATTTATGACTACAGAAATGCTAGAATACTGTAATTCCTGATCACAAAAAGATGCATTTTACATTTCACCTTTGTGTCAGTGTTTTATATTATATATTTACCTATTGTACCCACTAATGTCCTAACAATGAGCACACATTACCATATCCTCAATTGCCACAGGAGAAGGGAGAGACACAAAAGAAAGAGGAGGTGAGAGGCATTTTCAAAGAAACAGGAGGAGGAGCCACAACTGACCACTACTTTAGACATGTTAATGTATGACAACATTACACTAAACATCTGTTCTAAGTTCTAATGTTAATTTTTAGGTTAAATATATATTTAATTACTTTTAGAAAAGGCATATCCACGTGTGCTGCATGAACAGTGGCAGATGAAGTTTTCTCAGATCCTCTTTTTCTATAAGGAGCTTGAAGTGGATGCATTTCTATTGTTTCAATTACTTAATTGGCCAGCTAAGTAATTTATTTTTCCATCATCTTTTTATAGATTAACTTCGGGGCCATTTTAAAACAGTTTGGTAAAAGGTTTTGTAAAGTTTGGTTGTATGAAAGGAAACAAAATAATTATTTTTGTCCTTATATCTGGGGTAGTTACAACAATAGTTCTCATTTTAATTTGGTCCAGCATTTATGCCAGTTTGTCTTCCTGATGCAGACCAACAATTTCATACCATTTCAAACCAATATCATTGCAGTTTTTGTAAACTAATGAGTAAGGCCTCCCCAACTAGTCATCAGGACCTTTTTGTTTGGGAATTACATTTTTTTATTTTACAATTACATGTTTAGCATGTAGGGTTATGTTTAGCTATGTAGATGCATATTAATCTTGTACTATGGCACAGAAGTTTATTAGGACCAAGTTCCAATACCTTTGACTTTCGATTGTTAATATAATTGCACTTTAGGCAAAAATACGTTTATTTTTTAAGTGTCGAAATGTTTCTTAAAAAAAAAACAATTTAGTGTGCTGTACGAAAGAATGTCAAAGGAAAAAAAATATAATGTTACTTTATAAAAATGCCGTGACCCGGATTCGAACCGGGGTTGCTGCGGCCACAACGCAGAGTACTAACCACTATACGATCACGGCGAGCTATCCTATCGGACGGGAGCAGTCAAATATCCGACACAACACATAACTAATCTGTTTGCAATCGGTTTTTGTCTTTTTTTCTATGTAGCTCGAGAGATCAACAAACACTCCCACAATAAAGTACAACTTATTATTATTATTTACGTGTAAACACAGGATCTCTTGTGATCAACAAACTTAAAAACATGTGAATCATATAAATTACATTGCATATCTAGTGATCATGAAATGAACGAAAACTGTATTAATGACGAGAACAATTATATTGGCGTATTATTTATTTTCTCTAGCGCTTGTAACGTCTTGTTGTTTATGGGCGAGACTTAGCGTTTTAAACATCAGCGTCTCCTGATTGGATGATTACAATGTATTCTTACGGTTTCAACTTATTACCAATTCTGATTGGACGACACACTACGGTCCCTCGTTAGTCATTGGCGGAGGGCAAAACAGGACCCGATTTCAAACCGTCTTTCCTGTTTGTTTGGAGAAGCATGTGTAACGTTTGCGTGTAATGGATTCTCTGTAGCAGCAGTGAGTAGAAGCGACACGGATTTTTAACGTTTTTGAATATGAGTAGTAAGTAATAAGCTACTTAATATGAACGAAACTTCCACTTCGACGCGTACAACAATTTTGGACTTCAGTCCAGGACAAATGGATGATTTTAAGGAAAATAATGTCCCCGTTTTGAGCCTAATACAGTTTTCTAAGGCTCCATTTGTCACATTTGGAACATTTAAGTTAGGAACCTCTAAGTCTGCTGTCCTGCGGATCGAGAATCCCGACGAAGATGTAGAAGCAGAGGTGACTGTTGAAAAGATACCTTCAAGCAAAGGATTTTCCGTGGACCACAGATCGTTTACCATTCAGGTATGTTTTAATTTTTAACATTAAAGGACCTTTACTAGATGCACTGAAATGTTTTTTAGCTCATCAAATTCGTATTTCACTAGTTGGATGATATTCTTTAAGTCATGTGAGCCACTTAGTTTCTGATCGTGTGGACCTTATACATTTTCTTATGTTTATAACCAACAAACATTTCCCATATTCTGTTGTATTTCTCTAGTAATGGCAAAGTTTTGTTTAGACGCCATTTCTTCTCAATTGTTTGGAACATAAGTAACAAAGTTCCACATTTGTTTTGCTGAAAATTACATGGTCTAGATTTTTCTTAATGTCTGTACAATTTACAAAAAACAACAACAAACATCAACAAAACATTGCAATGAATAATTTGGGGATTTTGGGGTTTTGTGTTGGCAGCCTGAAGGTTTTTTCAACCTGACTGTCACCTGGACGCCAACAGACGAAGGGGGAATAAGGGAGTTGATCACATTCAGTGCAAATGGAGTCCTCAAGCACCAGGCCGTCATGCTGGGGAGAGCAGAGGCACCGAAAAAGAAGAAGGTACTCTAGACCTCCATGTGCACAATGTCTGACAATTTGTGGCATTTTACTGCATGTACACATGTTTTACTGCTGTGTTTTCAGAAAAGCTTGTGGGACACCATCAAATCCAAAAAAGGTGGTGAAAGAGTCGGTGTCTCCCGAGGAAAGAAACCTGGTCATCCTGCGAAGATAACGGTCAATAAAACATTTCAGGTTTCTCGTGAGCCACATTACAAACGGGACAAGCCACGAAGCCCGCAGGCATCACTCAGCAAAGGCGAGGCTGCCAGAGAGAGGGTGCTTGTGAAAAGTTCCATTGGTAATAACTCAGAAAAATCCGAAAAGCAGAAGCCTTTAAACCCCAAGGTGTGGCAGCAATGTCTGCCCTTGACAGATCAAGAGAATGTGCTTCATTTTCAGAGGAACTCTCCCGTTGTCTTACTTGTTCCAGCCACAAAGGTGTTGGACTCTGGATTCATCTCTGCGAGCCCTGATGTCCTGAAACCAGAAAACAAGAATATTCTTAAAGTACTTAACAAGACCATATCACCTATTGGAACACCAGAGAGGTTTAAGAAGCTTATTCCTTATATTGAGTCAGAAAGTACAGGTCCACCCATGGCTCAGTCTGCAGCTGACGCCAACTGTGCTAATAGTGATTTAGCTCAAAACTCTGCTTTTTCTTTATCAAATGCGCTGGCTTTAATTGACTCAGAACTAAGTCAAATAGAAACCAGTCCTGGGGAGAGTAGTTTTCTCTCAGAGTTTTCCGATTCATTAGAATCTAAGAGTGACAGCTGTGTCCTCAAAGAATTCCCCAACATCCCTGAGTCCAATGAGCCAAGACTGACTTTCTTTATCAACAAAAAAGTTGAATCGAACAAAGCTGTGTATTCAGTGAAGGAGAATGTTGTTTCAAAATCGCCCAAAACGATGGTGAAAAAAGCTCGTTTTACCTCTACCACTGTGACTAAAAGCAAAGGCCCAGTGGAGGAAAACAGTTTAAGTGAAAGGAAGATAAAAAAGTCTAGGCGGAGGCTCTTGGAGAAAACTCTGGAGCTTGACAGCAGCAGCCAACACGAGTCTGGACCAGATACTCCCAAACTTCCAGTGATCCTTTCAGACTCAGGAAACACTGAATGTCTAAACACTGTGTGTGACGACATACATCAGTTGTCCACCTCCAACCCTGCTCCATGTATCAACGGCTCACCTACACCCATCACCTTCCCTCTCACCTCGCCTCCACTTGCAGCTTCCCATCGCTTCTCTTTCTCCGTCAACTCTCCACCGTGTGCATCTCCCCAGAAGTCATCCTCTCGTCTTCATTTTGACCTCCCTTCTACCCACTGCGAGTTTGGGTCCAGTTGTCCAACTGTCCCTGCTCCACTGGCTGCTCTGGAACACGTGTTTCCTGTCCAAATTGTGGCCAAGACCAAGAAGAGGAAGAGCGAAGAGTATTTGAAGAGTGACCCAAAAATGGACACAGTGAGAGCTGACAGGGTCAAAAGGAGCAAAGTGGTGACTGTAAAAACACAGTCCTCAAAATCACTGCAGGAGAAAAGAGCAGCAGCAGCAGCACAGAGGCAACAGCCCAGAGCAGCAGGTAGACAACTATGTTGGGTTTCACTGACTAATTTCTTGATCATAAGATATACTTGTGAAATTTAAAAAGATTTCGACAATATTAAAAAAATTGTATCTGCATCAATTTTTTTTTTAACATATTTAGGAAAGAAATAATCATGATTCATTGTGAATAATCCAGAGCTACGCCATGATTACTCAAACTAAATTTTTTTTTATGGTTTGATAGATTTTGTATTTGTATTCATATTTTCACAAAATACTGTTATATGCAGATGAGACTCTATATAGGAATATTTACCACTATTGTGAATTCATTGGGCAGGATTGTTCAAACACCTGATCTAAATGATGAGGACTAAACGGTATTCCCCTTTGTGGTCTTAGGATCAAATCGCTCCACAGCTTCATCTCTAAAGAGTTATAGGGCTTCCGTTCCCATGCAGACAAAAAATCAAAGCACCAAACCCGTCTCACGAGGTAAGTAACCTGGAGCTGCACTTTGATGGACAGTCAGGTTCAAATATGAGCTCATGTGTATTGAGTGTATTTTGTGAATTATCTAAATGGATGATTTTGTTTCTGTAGTTACGACGTCTGTAAAATCGTCTTCTTCCATAAAGATGTCCAGAGTTGTTGCTGTAGCTCAGTCCAAACTCACCTTCGTCAAACCTACGCAAACAGGTATTGGATGGCACCGTGTTAACGCACAATTCCCTCAACTGTGGCTGTGTAACCATATGTCCCAGCATTGAATTTTGTAAAATAACTCTACCCAGCCATACCAAGGCATCCAATGCCATTTGCTGCCAAGAACATGTTCTTTGATGAGAGGTGGATTGAGAAGCAGGAGCGAGGTTTCACCTGGTGGATTAACTACGTCCTGACGCCTGATGACTTCAGGGTCAACATTGAAGTTGCTAAAGGTAACGTGGATCAAATGCGTTACCTCGGTAAAATAATCTGATTTCATGAGATGATGCATTTTATATATTTATTTATTTTAATTGTGCAGTCAATGCTGTGTCTCTGGCCATGGGCACTGATGACAACTTCAGTGTGCCAAAGGCTCCCACCAAAGAGGAAGTGTCCTTCAGCACCTACACGGCCAGACGCAAGCTGACCCGCCTTCGCCGCTCCGCCTGTCAGCTCTTCACATCTGAGACCATGGTAAAGGCCATTCAGAGGCTAGAGCTGGAGGTGGAGTCCAGGAGGCTGCTTGTGCGGAAAGACCGCCATCTTTGGAAGGATATAGGTAAAGTGCAGAAACCAGTCCATGTTGGGCTGGAGTACTCCAGACAGGCCTGAATGATAATGTTAAGTTTTTATTTATTTATTTATTCTTTTCAGGTGAGCGCAAGAAACTTCTCAAATGGCTTCTTTCGTACAATCCACTGTGGTTGCGCATTGGACTTGAGGTATTCCTGACAAACTGCTTGTACCTTGGTGCAAACCAAAACAGTTTCTCTTCTGTTTATTTAACACCACGTTGCTCATTTGCAGACGATCTTTGGGGAGTTGATCTCGCTCGAGAGCAACAGCGATGTCTTAGGCCTGGCAATGTTCATCCTGCAGCGGCTGCTGTGGAACGCAGACATCGCTGCTGAGTTCAGACACGCAAAAGTACCACACCTTTACAAAGAAGGTGACTACCCCCTGATAGTGGATTTTCGAGTGCTGTTTTAATGCTTAAGTAGAGTCAATTTCTTGCTAGGACCGATTATCTTTTTACACACCCAGTCATGACAATTCACTACAAGTTAACCTGCTAATTTAGGTGCTACCCAAACTGCTATAAGCATTAAGACTTAAACTAAATACAAGTTTTAAATAAAAATAGAATAGGATAAAAATTATATTTAACAAATTTATATGGTATAATTGAGTAAAAGCCAAATAATATTTTCCCTCTAAAAGGTTCATAGGAATGACGAAAAAGTTTTCCAAACTTTTTGTACCTTGTTTTAAATCTACTGTGGTGCATTTTAGGCCAGTGACAATTATATGCTCACCATATACCTAAATTTAATTGGGTAAAAAAGGACACAAGAAAAACCCTACTATACCTTAAATCACTGCAAGGCCGTTTCTTTAATGAGACCAATGTAATTAATGTAATAAATTGACTTTCTATTACCTGGTATAACTATCTGTGCTAGGCCACGAGGAGGCGTTGTCGCGCTTCACATTGAAGAAGCTGCTCCTGCTGGTGTGTTTTCTGGACAAGGCCAAAGAGTCTCGGCTGATTGAGCACGACCCCTGTCTGTTCTGTGTGGATGCAGAGTTCAAGGTAGTTCAAGGACCCGTCTACGTCATTTACTAATAATGAATTTTCTGAATCAGACAGTTAGATGCATTAACCTCTGCCATCAAGCCCCACTTTTCCTATTTATTGTATTTCTGCTGCAGACAAGCAAAGACCTGCTCCTGGCCTTCTCCAGGGATTTCCTGAGTGGAGAAGGAATTCTACCACGGCACCTCGGCTATTTGGGATTACCCGTCTCCCATGCCCAGAAGCCCCTGGATGAGTTTGACTTTGCTGTGAAGAATCTTGCTGTTGACTTGAGATGTGGCATACGGCTTGTGTGAGTGAGACGTCGTGAATTACATGTGATGCTCTAATCCCAGCAGGAGATCTGTTTCTTCCTGTTCTCCAGGGTGAGGCTCAGCCTCAGAGCCACAGATTCATGAAATCATTTCAGTGTTTACGGCCCGTCAGCTGAAAGGTTTTAGAGGAGATTTTTATCCCTGGGATTTCACACTAAATAATTTTTGTTGCCGCAACACCAATGGTTTCCATTTTGTGTGTTTGTTGGTTTGGGCTTAATAAGGCGACAGTAAGCCAGAAACCTGCATTTTATTAAATGGAATTTGTAGAACGTTAAATATCTTTTAATATACAGTCATAACTAGCTAGCTATCTTAGCTGCTTTAGTCTGTTTCTTTGCTCAAACATGAGATTTACCATGAGTTGACAGTCAAAATGATTTAAGTTGGTGTGATTCTAATTCCTAATGGTAAAAAAAATGAATGTTTTGGTTTATTACAGCGTTTATTTAACATATAACTAAAGATACATTTTTAGCACATTACGTTAAACAACAGTGCTGATTCATCTATATAAGGTCTAGCTCTTTTTGTTTTTAAATATTTAGTTGGCAGGCAGTACTGATGTTGGCATTAATATCAAAAGCAGAGGAGGTGAGTTGTAGAGTGATATGTAGGCACAAAATCCGCTGTAGTGACTCCTGTAATTTTAACAAGAAAAGTTTTACATTTCCTCTCAGGCGGGTGATGGAGCTCCTCACCCAAGACTGGAGTCTGTCACCAAAGCTCCGGCTGCCTGCCATCAGCCGACTGCAGAAGGTTCACAACACTGACGTTGCTCTGCAGGTCCTCAAAAGCAAAGGAGTCGACCTGAAGGATGAACAGGGTGAGTGAAATTCAGTGTCTAATGATTATTTTTCTTTTGAGATAAGTTTTGATTAAACAGACACTTGATGTTTTCAGGAATCCTATCTCCATGGCACTGAACATTTATGGCTTAAATTTGGTTTTGTATCTTTGATTTTGAAGGCACCACCATCGACTCCAGAGACATCGTGGACGGACACAGAGAGAAGACACTGAGCCTCTTGTGGAAAATCATCTTTGCATTTCACGTACATGTCTAATTAATTATTATTTTTTCTACACCACCTGCTGTGAAGAGTTGACTGTGCCCAGTAACTCCATGGTCTTTTCAGGTGGAGGTGATTTTGGATGAGAATCAGCTCAGGGAGGAGATCACCTTCCTCAGGAGGACCCTCAGAACCAAACAGAGGCTGGAATCTCTGAGGGCAGATCATATGCCCCGGTCCAGTCCGACAAATATCAGAGAACCGTATGAGCACAGCAGCACTAAGATATCACTGCTGATGGACTGGGCAAGAGCTGTGTGTGACTTCTACAGTCTGAAGGTCAGAGATGTTCTTATTTCCAACTGACTAAACTGATGTTTACTGTAGAAAATATATAATAATAAACTTATTCAGGTGAATGATTTAAAAAAAACACCTCAGAGGACCCCCTGCTGCCTGAGCACAATCTAGTTTCCATAAATCTAAATAAATAAATGTATTGCAATGTCAATATATGTGCATTTTACCCTTGTATTTGCAGGTGGAGAACTTTACTGTGACGTTCTCCGACGGCCGCATCCTCTGCCACCTCATCCACCACTACCACCCTGGTCTCCTGCCCGAGGAGGCTGTCAGTCACAGCACCACGCAGACCATGGAGTGCTCCTTGAGGGGACGCCTGGAGCTCAGCTGCTCAGCCAGCGACTCTGACAGCTCCTTTGACTCTGTGCCCCCAGGCCTGAATGGTATGTCAGCATGGTGCCTCTCAGTCCACGTGTCTAATTGGATGCTCTTTGGAAATAATAGAAAACATTGTTTGTGTCGGATGAGTGTGCAAAAAATGAGGAGGGTGAGAAGAGAGAAGGCAAGAGGAAAAAAAGACAAAAGAAATGAAAGAAAAAGATTTCCCCTCCCAGCTTGTCCCTGCACTGTAAAGATAGACAGATTAAAAGTTTTGCACATGTATGTATGTATGTATTTAAAAAACTGTGATGCTTCCATTCAATGAAAATTTGCCTGTGATCTCCACTTTCCATTGAATTTGTCAATAGATTTTCTTTAGCAGTTATTTAGTTAAATGTACCAGGAAAAACAAGCTACAAGTGTAAAAAACAAAAAACAAAAGTTTAACTACATCAATCAACTATCAGTAGCCAATAAATGTTTGTAGCAACTTAAAATACTATTTTTGAGTATTTAAAACTCAACCCAGTTGTAGTCCATTACCTAATATTATTTGTCTCTGTCAGAAAGTGCAGTATTGAGATCACAGACGTGTCATTTCCTTTTTGGACAGGAACAGGTTCTCCATTGGTTTTATTTAAAGAGCTTCTAGAAAACGAAAGGAACAACTTTCGATTGGTGAACACGGCAGTGGCCTACCTGGGCGGAGTCCCTGCGATGATCAACCCCGCTGACATGTCCAACACTATTCCTAATGAGAAGGTAGGAGTTTTAAGATAGAGATAAACCAGTGACTTCCAAAGAAGACTTAATGTTAACAGTGTATGTTGCAATTGGCCGAAGTATGTCTCTGAAAATTGGTCAAAAGTAGGGGTATCCGATATTAACTTTTTGCCGATATCTGGTATGCCGATATTCTCCAAACTCTTAATTTCTGATTTCAATATCAACCGATACTGATATAGCGGGGCAGTGGTGGTCTGGTGGTTAAGGAAGTTAAGTGCCGTCTGCTTAATAAGGTGATGGATTAGGGCAGTGTTTCTCAATTATTTTCAACCATGCCCCCCGCCAGTGGACAGAAGTTATTTCACCCCCAACTGAAATACTGTATAAGTATATGGGTACAGCATTTTGCATACAATACCCTAATTAGTAAAACAGATTAATAAACAGCTACAATGCTGCCATCTAATGGCTCTCCCTTTCACATTCACATTATCCCCAAAACAATTTTTAGGGCACTCATCATTTGGCGAAACCCAGGCATTGTTATCGGAGGAAAAACTGACTACGATTCTTACAGATACTACATAATTATGCTAATATGGGGCCAAATATATCAGTCGTCCGATATTATTGGATACCCTTATGCAAAAGTCATCTTCCAAAGCCAGTCAACATTATGGCCTTGTTTAACGGGCTCTGCTGTGATTCTCATGTGTTTCCAGGTTGTGATGTCCTACCTGACTTTCCTTTGTGCTCGTCTGCTGGATCTGCGCAACGAAACCAGAGCAGCGCGAGTCATTCAAGGTGCCTGGAGAAAATACAGGCTGAAGAAGGATTTGCAGGTCTTCAAGGTCAGCTAACAGCAGTGGTTCCCAAACTTTTTCTGCACTGCAGCAATTCAGCACAGTTACAGCTAGTGCCTTAAATCTTACTGTAATTTAGTTCCATGTACAAATATTCCCATGAAGGCAAAATCACTGGGGCAAATTATTTATTATTTATTTAAATATTTCAATTATGATTTAATTTATTTGCCTTGCTGCACCCATCCTCGGCAGTAGCTCCATGATCCCTGTGGGTGGCTCACACCTCATTTTGGAAACCAGCAGACTTAGATCTTCCATTCTTTGACCGTCAGACGGCAACAGTCAGACATCAGTCATCCCATAGCCTTTCTATGCGTTAAATTGATGTGAAGTCAAAAGTATTACTGTGCTTGTCTCACAAAGGGTGTCAACATTTTCCATAACCTTGTCAGTCACAGCTCACTCCTACTCCTGGTGGAAAAAACAACCCTGTTGTGGTAAATAACTGAGAGTAAAAATGACAAGACAAACTTTGTCATTGAACACAGGAAAGAAACATGGCAGCTGTAAAAATCCAGTTACTTGTAAGGAGGTTTCTGCAGAGGCGCAGAGCTGTGAGGCAGAACCAGGCCGCTCTTGTCATCCAGTCATTGTGGAGGGGCCACGTGACCCGGGTGAGGCTGAGGCGTCAAAAAGAGGCCAGGATCCGTACTCTGCAACACAGAGCAGCAACAATTATACAGGCGAGTGTTTTTGAATGTTTGTTGTGAAAAGTCTATACATGTCCAAAATAAAAACGTTACTATTGCCATTGCATTATTTTATATATAACCATATCCACAAGTGCATGGTAATGGTTTTGCTAAGTTGTTGTGCTGCCTAGTTAACATGAGGTACAATGTCCAGCAGTACTTTTTTTTTTTTTTTTTTTTTTACTGTCATGTTCTTTTTTTTTTTTGTTCTTAAAATAAATGGTTCTTATCTTGTGTGTACAGGCTCGCTGGAGAATGTTTTCCACCCTGAGGTCTTACCAGCACCTCAGGTACCATGCCATTATTGTTCAGGCACAATGGCGAATGAAGATGGCAGCCTGTGCCTATGGAAAACTCTACTGGGCAGCAGCAGTCCTTCAGACACGCTGGCGTGCACTGGTTGTGGCAAGAAGAGAAAGAGAACGCTATCTGTCCCTCAGAGCAACGGTGAGAAAATTACAGAGCGGTTACAGAAGATGGAAGGCCTTCAAGAGTGAGAAGGAAAACAATGCTGCCAGAATGATACAAGGTGTCTTCAGGAAATGGTATGGCCAAAGAATGGCCCACAGAAGTGCTGCTGCTGCAACGATTCAGTCTTGGTACAGAATGCAGAAGTGTCTCTGTCAATACAGGAAGATCAAAAAAAGTGCCCTCCTCATCCAGGCTCTGTACAGAGGTCATGCACAGAGACGTCGATTTGAGGCAGCGAAGCTGCAGCAGCGCTCGGCTGTTATCCTCCAGCGTGCCTTCAGAGGTCACGCTGTCAGGAAACAGGTTGCCAGAATGAGAAGCGCAGCAGTCCTGATTCAACGCTGGTTCAGGGCCATTGTGAGAAGGGATAAGGAGAGACAAGAGTTTGTCAGGCTGAGAAGTGCTGCCGTTACCATCCAGGCAGCTTATCGTGGAAATGTGGCCCGAGCGTTTGTGAAAAAACAGCAGAAGGCTGCGCTGGCCATCCAGGCGGCTTTCAGGAGGTACGCTGCCCAGAGCCGCTACATTTCCATGAGAAAGGCAGCAGTCGTGATACAGCAAAAGTACAGAGCCTACATATTAGCCCGTAAAACCTTGAAGGACTTTGTGGCTCTCAGATATGCTGTGGTTATTATTCAGTCTAACTGGAGAGGCAGAGCCGACAGGAAAAAAATAAAATATCGCCACAGCTGTGCAACTGTCATAAAGGCTCACTACCGTCGGCACAAAATGCAGTCAGAGTACAGGGCAAAGAAGGCAGCAGCTGTAATCATACAGCGCCAGTACAGGGCTTTTGCTGTTTCAAAGAAAACCAGGGAAGCGTTTATGTGCGAGAGGAAAGCATGCATTACACTGCAGGCTGCCTTCAGGGGCATGAGGACCAGAGTAGAGCTGAGGAGGAAGCACCAGGCTGCCACCATCATTCAGTCAACATTTAGAAAGTTTTCATGTAGGAATCAATACATTCTGCTACAAAGTGCATCTTTTGTCATCCAGAGTCGGTACAGAGCCTTGTTGCTCTGCAGAACGCAGCAAAAAGAGTACAGGCAGCTGCAGCAGGCGGCTGTGAAGATACAGGCCCTCTACAGAGGATTTAGAGTAAGAGAAGAACTAAAGTATAGGAACAAAGCTGCCAGAATAATCCAAGCTCAGTTCAGGATGTACAGGATACGCATGATCTACCTTGCCACCAAATGTGCCGCCATCATTGTTCAGGAGCGTTTTAGGGCCCAAATATTAAGAAACCAACAGCTGCATAAGTACAGAACAATGAAATCTGCAGCCGTCACCATTCAGAAAGTGTTTCGTGGCCACATTGTCAGGAGGAATGTTACAGAAATGCACCGAGCTGCTGCAGTCATTCAAAGGATGTTCCTCGTAGTCAGAGATCGAAGGAGGTTTCTCGCTGTTAAATCAGCAGCTTCTGTGTGTCAGCGGAGGTACAGAGCGCTGTCTGTGGCGAGGAAAGACCGCTTGGACTTTTTGTCAAAGCGTAGGGCGGCCACTTGTCTGCAGGCAGTCTACAGAGGATATAAGGTCAGAGGGCAACTGCGTGTTCAGAACATGGCAGCCGTGACAGTTCAGGCTCACTACCGAGCGTACAAACAGAGAAGTCACTACAGGAGGCTACGCTGGGCTGCCACTGTGGTGCAGGCACGTTACAGAGCAAGCAAAGCAATGAGACAGGAAGTGTACAAACTGAGTGCCAAGCGACACGCCACCGTCATGATACAAGCTGCCTACCGTGGAATGAAGTGCAGACAAATCATGAAACAAAAGAGTCAGGCTGCCGGTGTCATCCAAAGAGCCTATAGAGCACATTGTGTACGCAGACAGTACCTTGCTCTAAGATCCTCTGTTCTCATTATTCAAAGGCGGTACCGGGCCACTGTAACAGCTAATGAGCAGGTGCAAAAGTATCAAGATTTGCGAAATGCAGTCGTTGCCCTCCAGGCTGCATGCAGAGGACGACAGGTCAGAAAGGAAGTTGCTCGTTGGCATCAGGCAGCGACTCTGATTCAGTCAGTGTTTAGGAGGCACAGAGAGGAAGTTAAATTCCAGGCCATGCGACTGTCGGCCGTCATCATCCAGAGGTACTACAGGGCCTGTGTTCTTCAGAGAAAAGACAGAGAAAACTATCTTGAAGTTAAGCATGCTGCTGTAGTTCTTCAAGCTACCTTCAGAGGTCAGCGTGTTCGAAGAGACATTGCCAAGATGCACAAGGCAGTTACGCTCATCCAAGCCAACTTCAGGAGACATCGCTTTAGGAGACAACACTGGGCTGCCTGTGTGTTGCAGCATAGGTTCAGAGCCCAAAGAAAGAGAGATGTTGATGTGAAAAACTACCAAGAGCTGAGAAAAGCAGTCATTAGTTTACAGGCAGCCTACAGAGGGCGGCAGGTCAGAAAGGAAGTTGCTCGTTGGCATCAGGCAGCAACTCTGATTCAGTCAGTGTTTAGGAGGCACAGAGAGGAAGTTAAATTCCAGGCCATGCGACTGTCGGCCGTCATCATCCAGAGGTACTACAGGGCCTGTGTCCTTCAGAGAAACGACAGAGAAAACTTCTTGAAAGTTCGAGACGCTGCTGTAGTTCTACAGGCTGCCTACAGAGGTCTGCACGTTCGAAGAAACATTGCCAAGATGCACAAGTCAGCGACTGTCATCCAAGCCAACTTTAGGAGGCGTAAGGAGCAGTCACACTACAGAAGACAATATTGGGCAGCCTGTGTGTTGCAGAAAAGATTTAGAGCCAAAAAGCAGAAAGATCTCGACTCAAAACATTATCAAATGACCAGAGATGCAGCCATTGTGCTCCAAGCTGCATATCGTGGAATGAAAACAAGAAGAGGAATCAAACGCAGCCATCTCGCTGCCAGCATTATCCAGAGAGCTTTAATGGCTCACTGTGAGCGGAGACACTATCTGACTTTAAAAACTGCAGTTCTTACCATTCAGAGGAGATATCGGGCCAATGTAGCTTCAAAAAAAGAGATGCAGAAGTACAGAAACATACAAAGTGCAGCTGTCACCCTCCAGGCTGCATGCAGAGGATGGCAGGTCAGAAAGGAAGTTACTCGTTGGCATCAGGCAGCGACTCTGATTCAGTCTGTGTTCAAGAGGCACCGAGAGGAAGTTAAGTTTCAGGCCATGCGATTGTCAGCCGTCATCATCCAGAGGTACTACAGGGCCTGTGTCCTTCAGAGAGAAGACAGAGAAAACTTCCTTAAAATTCGTGGCGCTGCTGTAGTTCTTCAAGCTGCCTTCAGGGGTAAGCATGTCCGAAGGAACATAACCAAGATGCACAAAGCAGCCACGCTCATTCAAGCCAACTTCAGGAGACATAAACAGCAGTCACAATTTAGGAGACAATGTTGGGCAGCCTATGTGCTACAGCAGAGGTTCAGAGCCCAAAGAGAGAGAGACGTTAATGTGAAAAACTACCAAGAGCTGAGAAAAGCAGTCATTAGTTTACAGGCTGCTGTCCGTGGATTCAACTCCAGACGAAAGTTCAAGCAGAGGCACCGTTGTGCCACAGTTATCCAGAGAGCATACAGAGAGCACTGTGAACATAAGCACTACATGAAATTGAATTCATGTGTCATCAATATTCAGCGAAGGTATAGGGCAACGTTGGTGGCTAAAAAACAACGAACACAGTATCTTGAAATGCACAGTGCAGCTGTGGTCCTTCAGGCTGCATACAGGGGGCACCAGGTCAGAATGGAGGTCACTCGCTGGCACCGGGCTGCTGCTGTCATTCAGTCCCAATTCAGGAAGCACAAGGAGGAAGTCAAATTCTGTGCCATGAGAGTGGCAGCCATCATCATCCAAAGACATTATCGTTCATGTGTGGCTCAGCGAAAAGAGAGAGAAGTGTTTCTGAGAAAAAGACAATCCACTATCGTCCTTCAGGCGGCACTCAGAGGGTGGCGGGTCAGAAGGGAAATAGGCCGACAGAACCGCAGCGCAGTCGTCATACAGTCGCACTGGAGAGGTGCAGTGCAGAGGGTGAGCTTCCAGAGGAAGAGAGCGGCAGCGCTGACACTTCAGCGCAGGTTCAAGGAGATGCAGTGGGGCAGGGCGGAGAGGAACAACTATACCCGTATGAGGAAAGCTGCCATCACACTTCAGATACATTTCAGGGCCTGGAGGACAAGACGACAGGTAGGTGTTAACTTAATCAATTTCATATATTGCTTTAGAAGTTGTTGTTTTTTTTATTTTCATGACAGTTTCAGTTGTCTGAAATTGACTAAAAACACAACACAGTCAAAAATATTTGAGATTTATTTCAGTGCTCCATTGTGTTGCAGTTCCAGGAAGCAGAAAAGGCCAATCGGAGATTCAGGTTTACGTCAGCAGTTTTCCATCATCTCTCTGCCATGAAGATCCAAAGAGCTTTAAGAGCTCACTGGGCTTTGGAATCTGGGAAGAGGCAGATCCATTGTGTCCTAACCATACAGGTAAAGACAAACGCTCTCACTGTCATTGCTACCCTTAAACCTTTGATACATTTCATTAATAAGTGCTTTTTTGAAATTATATTATAATATTTTTTTTTTTTTTTTTTAAGCGGGGGGGGAGAGCAAGGCAGCAGAGGAGGCGATATCTAGAAGACAGGAGGAGGGTGGTCGTAGCCCAGTCGATGGTGAGGACCTGGTTGGCTCATCGCCATAAAGCTGCAGCTGTCATCCAGCAGGCTGTCCGGAAATTCCTCCTTGTCAAGCGCCAGAAGAGGATTCGGGAAGGGATTGTTAAAGCTCAGGTACTGATGACAGGATTGGGCCATCTTTCTAACTTTATTCCTGCTTCTGAAAGGTCCACATTTGGACCCTGTAGACATTAAACAGAAAAAGTTTATAACAGAAGAGCTGTCTGACATGGGACTCTGTTTAAAATAAGAGGGAAAAAAGTTGTTTGAACAGGAGTTACACAACCTAGTTGTTTAAAGAGTTCTAGGAAATCTCAGCCAGACCTCATTTCCCAAATCATCGATCAATAATTGTGTTACACATGATGAAACTTTTCCTTTCCTGTGCTCTTCCTTCAGGCTCTGTGGAGAGGGCACCGCTCCCGCCGACTGAATGACAATCCCATGGTGGTAAAGCTGAGACACCGTCTGCGTGAAGTTACTGACACGGCCAGAGAGGAGGACAAATTGTGCAACAAGACGTCGTCTTCTCTGGACTACCTGCTCAAATGCAAACACATGTCTTATATCCTAGAGGCCCTGAAAAACCTCGGTAATGGTTTCACACATCTCTGCACTAACACAATACAGTGTAATATCTGAAGAGATGATATTTAAAAAATGCAACGCTTACATGACTCCTGGTGTGTCTGTGCATTCCCAGAGACCGCCACTAGGCTGTCACCTGAGTGCTGTGAGCGGCTGGTGAACAGCGGAGCCACAAATACTATCTTCACCCTGATCCGCTGCTGTAACAGAAGCGTCCCCTGCATGGACATGATCACCTTCTCCATCCAGATCCTCCTCAACCTGTCGAAGGTAACAGATGTCGATGGGCTACAGCTCCAATCAAGACATTTTATCCATCTCTGATTTTCTGTTTTGGCTCCTGACTGAATAATTACATTTGAGGAAAGTGAATGTTACATCAGTAGGAAACCAAGTTGAATTTGAGTTGAATCATGTTTTTAAGTTGGTAAGTCTGTGTACACTGTGTATAGGTGTGGGTTTGGCTCAGTACGCTGTTTATTGACATTAAATTCAGGCGGTACTATGTATCGTCGCCATCTCCCATAAATTTATTAAGATAGTCTTGTTTCACTAATTTGACGTATGGCATTACAACTCGGCATCTTGTTCACACCAACTTTGACATTTTAAGTTATTCTTACGAATGTTACTAGTTTTTAATACAGGTTTTGGCTAAAACTTTTTGGTTGTATTTTATTTCTTGACCTATCACATTCTCACAGTACCACAAGACAATTGAGGCGGTGTATTGTGTGGACAAATCTGTGGAGACACTTTTGGACCTGCTGCAGAGGTACAGAGAAAAAGCAGGTGACAAAGTTGCAGACAAGGGCGGCAGTATCTTCACCAAAGCCTGCTTCCTTGTTGCTCTCCTGCTGCAGGACAAAGGCCGCGCTGTGGTTCGTAGCCATGTTTTTAACAAACTGTATCTCCTAACCTGTAGAAAGGCTTAACACAAAACCTCTACTACTTGTGTTTAGGAGGTAATGAAGCTGCCCAAAGCCTCGGACAGGATTAGCAGCATTTATCGACTGACTGCTCGCAAACACAAGATGGATGCGGAGAGAACGGTCATCAAACAGAAGATGAACGCGTCTATCAACGGGAGCTTCTTGGTTCAGGCAACACCTAGAAAATCCAGGACTGCACCCAAGTATGTGCTCCATAGATTTACAGATGGGGGCTGGATTTTTTTTTCTCTAGTTGTTAACATGTGGTTTTTTTTCCTTTTTTGTGTGTGTTTTTGTTCAGGTTTGCACCAGACTGGGTTCTCAAAAAAGACAAGCTCAAAGACATTGTGGATCCTCTCAGGGCGATCCAGATGGTTGCAGACACTTTGTCTATTGTATTGTAAATATTTATGCTATTAAATTGGAACTCATCTCTTTTTCTTCCACAAGGAAGAGATTTTTATGCTGTTTTTTGTTTATTCTTTTTTTTTTAACTGACATTTCCATGTGTTTAATGTACCTAGTAAATTGTTTGATTTGTTTCCTCATTTGTTTCTCTCCTATGTATTAATTTAAATTCTCGACAAAGTTAAAGCCTAGTATTTAGGTATTATATACGTATGTGTTGTTTCCAATGCACAGACACCATTTTTATATGCAAAATTTGATGCACAGTGCAAGTATAAATTGTACATTGGTCCAAATATACGGTGTGTGGGCTAAGGTTTAATATTTTAGAAAAATAAATCTTAAGGAAAAAAAGCAGACTACTGTTATATCCTGTTAAGATATGAACTGCTTTTTTAAAGAGGATTGTAATAGTTCTTATCAGCAGGATTCCCAAACATCTGGAAAAAAAACTAGAAAAAATTACGACCAAATATCAGCTCATTTAGGATATAAGAGAAAAAATCACAAAGATAAAAGACAGAATCTGTTCAGTAAGAGTTTTTCTTAACTGCTGCCACAGGGCACAACAACTACACGGGATCGGGATCATGATTTGGTTATTTGTTGTGAAAACTTGTTTGGAAAATACTTATAGATACTTACTTATAAATACCAAGAAAAAAGTAATTGTCCAGTATTGTTTAAATTCAGATTACATGTCAACATAACCAAAAAATGTTACTAAAACACATGAGCTTCTAAAAGGGCTCTAAAAGCTGTCTTTATCTTTGTAGATCTAATAAAAGCAAATGGTGCTCCTGGAGCAGTTGTATTTTCCTATTAAGAAGTCGTAAGTGGTTAAGAAGTACATGAAAGTGGTGCAGGACCTGCATTTAGACAACAGGACATTGGACAGTAGATCAATAGAAGTCACTAGCAGCAGGACAGTACTATATTTAACTGACCATTTGTCAACAGGCCTGACTGAACTTTGATAAATCATTGACGTGTGTTCAGTCATCATGTCATATATATTTTTCTTTTAAAAAAAGTAATAAGCACTGAACCATAGATGAAGAAAATTATTAAATAAAAAAACAATTCCTTTACATACATCTTTTAGAAGTAGGATGAGGGATGGAGTGTTGGCACTAAGGAACACTGGCATTTGCTCTCATACAAGCAACATGATAGTACCACATTTTTAAAATTTCCCCCATCACTTAAGTATGACCATTTTTAAGGATGTAGTTTTCAAAAATGTATTAATTTCATAAAAGAATTTGTGAAGAAACATTGTAATGAATACATTTTGTGAATTTCACCATCCAATGTTAATCTAAAAAAAAGTGTATTGACTGTGTCAATATACATTATTTGTATTTGTATTTGTATTTTTGCACTGT